TATATATACACACACGGAGACCCGTTGATTGTAATCGAACACGCGAGAAACCGATACAAATCGAACACGGTGGACGACGATGACGACGACAGAGGAAGACGGAGGAAGACCTCCTCGACAGCGTTGTCGTCGGTGTTAAATCATTGTTTTTACGATTATTCTCGGTGCGAGTCCCAATAATAATGACTGCACGGCGATATAATCGGCATTTTTACGACATTGGGCGGCTTGTAAACATTTTGTGAAATAGAATATAATATATATACCTACATATTAAAAGAAAAAAAAAGGAAAAAAAACTAACGAGAACCGATGAAATTTATGCATCTTGATTGGAACACGGACAGAGAGTAGTCGTGCGATTAACGCGATTTACATAATGGCCGCATATATATGTACACAATATAGGTATATTATATTATTATACGTGGCGCAGGAACCGGCGACGGCTACGACAACGACGACAACGGCGATAATAATCGTGAGAATTAATTGTGTATAAATTGTAATTTCGATTTTAATAGCGTGTGGGGCCTTTTTCTTTTTATTATACGTGCTGCAGCTGAACCTTATAACCTATAGGCAGCAGAATATCACGTGAAAGGTGGTGTTTTGATGGGCCCGGTAGGCGACTGCTCAATTTAAACCGATGGGGTTATAAAAAAAAAATATAAGTACCAATACCTGCACGTTGTACATACATATACGTATAATATTATATGCGACAAACCCAGCCACGATGGGTGTACGCCGTGTACAATAAACGTGCATTTCATGTATACGGTCCCGTTTAGTCGCTAATGAAAGTCGTATATTCGAAAACAAAACAAAAATAGACTTTTACGGCTTATGATGTGACGAGTATACGGTTCTATGGCAACGGCAGGAGTTTAATGCCGCAGTTAAACTACCACTTTTTATTATTCTTCCATTTTAATTTCACTCGCGACCCATGGATTCGTTTGTTATTGAGTCGTTAAAATCTTCACTCCGATGAGATCCCTCCCGAACACGTGACGTGAGTGAGATCGATTCGAGTTAACAATATTATTATTGTTTCGGAAACGTCTTCCGTCTGCTAATATATACATAATGCGTGGAAACACAATGATATTATATACATCATGCACGTGGTGGGAAAATTGAAATGTAGGTGCCTATTGTATTATAGTCTGTTTGGCACGTCCGACGGAAATAGAGTTTTTCTTTCCATTGTCAATATTTTAGTTGCGGTTTAAATATTCAAATGATTTATCGATTTATGTGACTAAAGGGAACCCGTTTGTCTCTTGTTTTTCATACTGATATTGTATACTGCAATAACAACAGGCGTGTTATGAGTAAATATATGTGAGTTTCCATAATATATTTTAATGTTATACTGTGCGTCTGTATAGGAATACATGCATCGGCTCTAATGACAGTATATTATTACACTGACAACCGACAAATAATATCATAGTAATTAGTAAGATTATTATATTGTGCACCTATTCTAAATTATAATGTACGATATATCTCAAATATTAAGTGAATCTCAAATTGTATAGCGCACAATGATTTTATGCAGCGGAAAATTATATTTGTGTGCTTTTGACCGTAAGTATAGGTACACAATATGATTATATATAAATGTGAAGTTTTTGAGCATGCCATGGTATGTATAATAGCAGTATAATATAAATTCTCATTTTTGTATACATATATTATATACGTATGTATGTATGACAATGATTAATGACAATATTATGAAGCCATAGTCATATAATGTAATGTATACTGCAGTCTACTCGAATGGTACGTAATATAGGCACGTTGATGTTTTTTCCCCCGTTTCCGTGTATAAAACTAAATTTATCCCACTTTTTGAAAACGCATGCCAACTGCCAAGTAAAAATATAAGTATACAATAATGTTCACGAAACATTGAGTTGACACGCGTAGTTCCCGGTAAACATAATAATAATTATTATGCCATGTAACTATACACAATATGGTACATGCACATTGTGCGAATGAGGATTTACGATCACGTGCCCAGCGCGAACTGCGTTAAATCGAGTTCTCAGCTAAGTTGTTAGTCGTTTCGTGTCCAAAATTTGAAATCGGCCCATCTCTGGAATTTAACCGGTAGATCATGGTTGTGTAGTGAATGATATCAATAACCGATCGGAATATGAGAAAAAGCACACGACAGACGACGCAGCTGTGAGCCACGATACAGATAATATTAGACATATTTTTATCTACACCGTTCTGTGAACCCAGCTTTAGGCGCCTAATAGGTATAATATAACCATAAACGTGGTTACCGCTGAAGATAAACACTGCGCTGCAGGCCAGCCACTGTCGTCGAGCCAATTCTGGCTGGAAATATTCTGCAATGAAATGATGATATCACACGTACAATATTATAAGTTATTATATTTTGAAGTGAAATGTATTCGAATGATTTTTCAAAATATAATTTCGCGCGATTTGCATCTACATTATACGCGCAGTATCTCGTAAATAATTCCCACGTAAGCGGTATCATTATTATTATTATTATATATCATATAATGGCGTATAATTGGATGTAATTATTTTGTGCGCGTGCGTATCGTATGCATATTTCAACGACCCAACGGCCAACAACCGTATAATAATATAAGACACATAAAATATGAATTATTGGTACGTATACATCAGGAGGGATACCACCCGGACGACTGTGCAGTGAGAGGTTCAAGAATGATGTTAAGGTGGATTGGGGGGGAGGGGGTTCAACATAAACCGCGCCGATTATCCTTCCGCAAAATTAACATAATACGCGTGTGTACCACGTCGTGTCCCCTGCTCTTACACAGTAACAATAATATTTTGTTCACCACAAAACCAACAAGAAGATAAATCATGAAAACGACTGACAAAATAAGTCGGTATTGCATATTGCAGCTGTCTGTTGATTTTGTATACAATAACGAGTGTAAAACCTATAAAACAATAATTATTGACATTGTAACTGAAAATACTTATAGAATAATGTAATAGAATCTAATGTAATAATGTTTCCAATCTTCACTAATTTACACATTCAAAAATTTGTGTTTTGAATAAACTTTCTTTTTTTAGACACTATTTATATCTAAAAATGATAATATATAAAGAATGTAAACTACACATAAAAAATAATAATTAAACGAAAATACGTGGTGGCGCATAAATAAAAAATGCAAATGTAAAGTGTATTCAACAGAAGACGAATTTATTATTCCAAGAAAATAAAATTTTTATTAGAATCATGACGATGATAGCACTCAAGATCAAGACATGATCATAATATCATAATATAAAAATATAAAAATAAAAATAAGAAAAATATGATTTAAGATTATTAAGTAGTATTTATAAATGATCAAGAAATTGTAACATGCTTTGACTTTATAAAACAAAATGTATTCTTTTTAATGACTTGATATTTTTTTATAATCAAACTTAGTTTTAAGATTCTATGTTTTATATATATATATATTCTTATAATAAATTTATATATTACATTAAATAATATGTATTTAATTGACAGATGAATGTATTTTACCAAAGTGTGTTCTAACACTATAGTTGTAGTCTAGAACTATAAGTCTGTAGGCATGTTAACGAAACTATTTTTTAGGTTTGATTATTCATTAGTTTTTATTTTCAATTATTTCATATTTCGATGAATAATTTTGTTTTTGGACAAACAATATCGAACACGCATTCGAGTACAAATTTCACATGCAACGACCAACACTCGAATATCAGCCGACCAGACGGTTTAAAAAATTGGCCGACCGACGAAATAATCTCGAATTGGATTTATTATAAGAAGCGCCGCGCGTGGTTGAACCTACACAGCGAGCGTTAAACGGACCGAACCCGTTTCGGACGATTTCTAACCGCATTATCGCCGCCAGGTCGACATTCGTACATTGTGTCGCCGACTGCCGAGACGTATGCACGCACGCATAATATAACATATTATACCATTGTGTTGTCGTACATAATAGTATATTATACACTTCGGATTGACGGCAGAATTGGGCCCCAAGCCCAGATAGTGTGTGTGTGTGTTGCACTGCAGATGTGCATCGCTGTGTGCCAAAAACAACATTTGAACGCGTTTATATTATCGTTTAGACGTGTTGCTATTATTATGATTATTATTATTAAATTATAATATTATTATCATTGCAGTTTTCCTTCCGTTCCGACGGAATAAAACCTACACTCCATTCTATTTCGACTGAGGTCCCTCATATTATATTCTTATAATAATATAATGTAATATATACTATGTTATATAGATTATAGGTATCAACTACTTATCGAATTGGCAGAATGCGATTCGGGGGTGTCGATTGCAGGCCAAGCAATTTTGTTCATCCAAGCCACTGTATAGGTTTTGCAAATATCTTCAAGTTATTTTGACTACATATTCTTTACATTTGATTTTAGTTGAGTGGATTTTAATATTTAATTTACTAATTTGTTCCCTAGTTCGTACAATGCCAAGGTAAAATTTCTAGACACAATCTCGGAAACATAGAGGTCATGTATAATCCCTCAAATCCGACTGAAGTAGCGTAGTATAAGTAATATTATGGTGTTTCCTGCAGAACGCTTGCATTTATTGTTGTTGACTTAGGGTAGGTATAGCTAATAGATTTTCAAGATCAATCTTGAACACAAGATTTTAGCATTACGTCTGTTCTCATTCGCACCCCCGTCATAGTACAATAGTGTTCTTATAGGCACCGCACCCACCCTCATACACACGTCATCAGATTTTGACTCGACCGCGGTTTATGTGACGGCTGCAACGCCGCGGCGGTCGTGCTGAAAATCGCGAGAGACCGTTCACGCGAACCGCGTTTGTCCGCAAAGTGATTTGTTGCGCGCGCGCCCTCGCCGCCGGTAGACGGAGCCACCGTCCGGCGACCGCTTTGCGGACGCGTTAGAGCGTCGTCAGCCCGCCGCCGCACTCGTGCTACACCGGCCTCAGCGTCAGTGCAACACCGAAGTCCGTAAGTGTTCGACGTTCGTCCGCGCAGTCGTTTTCCGTACGCCTCAGTCGTCTCGCCGCGACCGTCTTAATAATAATAATATTATTATTATTGTACGATTCAGAGTGTCTGTGCGCCCGTCTGTATTAATTTTGTTTCGGATTTTGTATTTGTCATAATTTTTCGAAAACACTTTTAACGAAAAACTTTTTTTTTGTTATATCAATATTGTTATTTCGTCCGGTGTTGGATACTTTGAAATCCACCTAGTGTAACACGCAGAATCCGCCACTCGAGTGTGCATGTGCAGTGCGAACCATGATCATGAGTAACGAAAACCAATACCTGAGACCGGATTATTTAACTCCTTTACCGTCGGTAAGTGTAACATTACATATTTTATATTGTTTTTGACGTCTTTATGCACTTATACCCACCAACAATTAGTTATTACCTTTATGTTTTCAATTGTGGTTTTTGATTTTTATTATAAAAATAATCTCAGTCCAGACCGATAGGTATAACCCCTCATTTTAGGGTGGAATATGACGTATATATCGGTGTACCAATTTAAAACTTAAAAAAGCTTTAAGAAATTCTGTATTTTTATTAGAATTTAATTTAAATATGTTAAACTAATTAAACATTCAAACAATTGATTCAACTACCTATGTAAAATTAGTCCTATACCGTTTAAATTTTTAACTGTGTTTAACTTTTAAATGTGTTCGAACTTCAAGGTATAGATATTTGCTCAAGTGTAATTAATTAGTTTTATATTTTTGGACGTGTTAACCATAGAAACATATAAAATAAAAACGATTAAATCGTACATGACGTAATTAAAAATTGTATAACTACATCATAAAAAAAACTTCAATAGCCCCAAATCCCGAGTTCTTTTATTGATGTTGGGGCTAAACTTCATGATTTTTTTTCAACTATAGAGGCTGTTGAAATTCAGTATACCGTGGGTCTGATTATAAGTCAGAACGGTACTGATCTGTTAGGTAATGCAAAAAATATATAAAACCAAAATAAACACCTTAAATATAATATTATAATATGATACAGATCTATAGTATTATTCCACCCGACCGCAACAAATAACACTTCACGTAGGTACATGACTGAATAAATTTGAAGCTGAAGTTTTGTGTCAGAATTAGCGTTGGTAGTAATAGGTACTAATATTATGGCTTGTACTACTGCACTGTTATGGTTTTTCAAGTCAAAACCTTCGAAAACTTTGTCGTTTAAATAGCAACTGACAACTATATATTTTCGAGAGTATTACAAAATGCGTATAGGTATAAACAACGCCGACGATAGTGTTTTCACGACCTTAAAGCGACGAATCTCCGAGTATCTCTCTACTTATATGGAATATGTAAAGCGATCGAGCATCCTAATCGCTTGATCGGAAAGCCATAAAAAGAAAAGGACGTTAACCCCCTGCGGACACGACGACAATAATAATAACAATACGAGCTGAGTTGGTTAGCGTTGCTTGGCGGGGGGGGGGGGGATCGGGAAGAATACCGCCGTCGAAGCTATATTATCTACTCGACACTTGATTTATTCCCGAAGACTCGCGTGCAATATTGATTTGTTGTGTCACACATAATAATAATAATATAATATAACAAACAAGGCGAGTACACCAGTAGCTCGAAAGCACAATAAAATACAATTTTAAAACCAATCCTCGAGTTCCACATAATAATATTATTGTTATGAATATTTACAAAATATATTTTAACATAGTACAATAAATCGTGTACATCCTGATAATAATATTATATTCCTAAGCTCACGTCTTCACCTAATATAATGTTATTATATATATCGCCGATGAGAGAAATGGTATTTGAGCGCCGGCGGCAAATCGATTACGCCACTGCCCGGGCGCGAGCGTGTATGTTCGATAATGACACGCGGAGGGGAAGTGTATTTTTTTCACCACCCCTGTCGTCGGTTCGTTAATGGTTTTCCACCCGCCCGTTGCAGAAGTGCTTGTCGTCGTCGTCGTCGTTTTTGATGTCTACACACGAGCGCCTGCGCGCACTAGGCTGGTTACAGGACTTTGACGTGTCGACGGGCGGCGGCAAAGTCTGACGATCGACGGGAAGTGGTTGAGAGGAAAGTCGAAGGAAAAGCGATCCGGAACGAGAGGTGTGTACACCTACCACCCTATATTATATATACTATTGTTGTTTTTTTTTTTATTATTAGCTGCTGATACCATACAGACGCGTTAGTGACGTTAGTGTATAATATTACACGATAATAGTATAATAATTCTGACGGTCAAGTTATCCAGCTCGGATTGACGGGTTTCCGCGACTGTCGGTCATTGTTGAGTGTATTATAATTTATAGGTTACTCTTCCTTCCGGTCAGGCCTATTCGTGTCGCGTGGTGGTTGGTGAAAAACGAGATTGATGATATTACATTATTAGAATTTATTATCATCAATCGTAGAGACCAAGACGAAAATGAAAATATCTGCTAAAATTATTGTTTGTCTCGATCGGGTTTTGACTGACAATCGTTTTCGGAGTGCAAATCGAAAACAACGATAAATTAAAGCGTGGTTGGTCAGTTTTTCGTTTGTTTGTGCCTGTATGTACACGACGACCGTGATTTTGGGCTAATATATTATTATAGAGCCGGTATTTGTCGTCATTTAATATTGATCAATAAAACTACATGGTTCTAAAAAAAATATGTTAACTAGGTGTGAATATAATATTAACGATTCGTGTGGCTAAAAGGTCAAAGCTGATGTTGTCCGGAGGCGGTGTATTATAATTTATATAATATGCCTTACCACTTTATAATCATAACAAAATATTTTGTAGGTACATCGCAATCAAACGTTGACGGTTTTTACTTTTTTTTCTCATACCATTGACTTAAAACCAACTGCATTTTATTATTATAAGTTTTTACCGTAGATACGTGATTTTTATGGACGACGATGCATGTCGAATGTCAGTAAAATGATTTCACTATATAATATTCCGATTGATGCAGTTGCTCGCGCAGTAACGTTAATTGGGAGTTAAAACCTATTTTGACACGGCTGCACGGGGTTTATAACCACAATACCTGCAATATTACTTTTATTGCGCAGCCCGGATAACTAGTTTTCGGCGCGTTATTATTTTGCGTTTTACACACTTAATTATAATATTCAAAATATAATAGCCCGACTTTTATTCGTTACGATCCCGTGCCAGGAGTGCAGAGGTACACTTTATTATAATGTATATTATACGCTATTAATACAACGACGAGTAATAGTTTATTCTAAAAGCGTTCGCCTGAGTACATAATAATAATATATTATAGTGCCGATAAAATATTATTTACGACGTGTATATATCTGTTTCATCATTATAATATATAATACGTCCCCGCCGGAACGCCGCGATGACCGCTCGTTCGAGACGGACACGAGATATTATACACTATACAGTGCTCCTCGAAACGGGATGCATATAACGTTATAATTTGTCGATATCATAATATTATGTATTATATTAACCGGACGTGGGCTAATTTATTGCACATCACTCGACACGAGCGTGTTTATTATGCACACCAGAGCATTGCAAGATATTGTCGGTCTGCATGTTTATAACGTTAGGCGTACACACACACACACACACATAAATATTATATTGTACACAAGCAAAAATAAACTAGATAAATGCCCGCAAGTCAAAACATTAACTGTTGCAGGTATACTGCAGAAAAATACCAAGTGCATATAGGAAACCAATTACTTAAAGTTCGATTGCTGTGATAGATAGACATATTTATAATTTAATTTAATACAGATAACGTACTATTTAGTATAGGTTAGTCTCGCAATAACTTTTGAAACTTGAAATGGGCGTGCGAAAATAAAACCAAATCACACATCGGACTTTAACAATATTATTAAAAAATAATTATGAGTATGATACGAGTATGTTTCTAATGTCTCGAGTGAAATAAAATATAATAGGTATAATCTATAGTCTATACGAATAATAGGTGTATTATGTATTTTATGAAATACTTAGTATAGGTAGCATAAATTGTTCCATTAATTCATTTTCGTATTGGTCTAATTCTAATTAAGATACACAACATTGTTACAACATTTAGTAAATAACAATTAATTGTGATAAGGATAACTTATAATGTATAATTTTATCGTATATGATCATAATTTATGTTTTTAAAATATCATTAATGAGTTATTGCTTTTTTACTACTTGAGAGTACTAGCGTAGTATAATGATTTAGTATATTATATTATATTTTAATGTAAAGTAGCTTTGTTTGCTGAAGTGACATTTATAGCTATTCCCTGTATAGACTGCAGGGTCGATCGGACACAGGAAAAGGGTCTAAAGCGTACGACGCGTCACATCTACACGAAGCAAATACCACCATAAACACCCGCCAATGGGTCGACGTGAGTTTGATACTTTGATTGTTATTATACAACCAAAATATTCGAGTAAAGACAGTCGCCTATCTTTTTTTAAACATATTTTTTTTGTATGAAGCAATCTGTTACATTAATCTCTATAATATATTTTATCATATTATTAAATGCACGGTCGTCTCAATCTGAATTCCGACATTCGTTTTACCGTCCGGCTATTTTCGTCTACCGTACCGCTCGAATATTTGCACAGAAACTATTTAACGCGCGCACACCAAATTGAATGGAAAAATCTCCGGCAACTGACCGCAACGACTGGCCTCGTATATTCGACTCGCCGCCACCGGGCAGCATTTCGCAGATAAGGTATTCGAAGCATTCGCCGCTGGGCATAATGTTCCTCGACGGGACTACCGATATCGTTCACCGAAATACATATCGGTCTCACTATATATAGAGTGACGACTACCGATCGACAGAATTCTCTACGTTCTCGCTGTCTGCGAGTGTCGGCTGTAACGTGGTGAAGTCGTATGCACTAGTACCTCAAAGTAATCGCGATAATAGTATAATAGAATAATTTAAAGCATGTTTTTAGACCCTCAATTCGAGTTTTGGTATGAGCTTCAAAATCGTGTTCCTGAATTTATTGCGCATGATTTATTGTTTTTCTGATACTCATCGAACCAATTAACTGTTATGGTATAGTATAATGCAGATGATAATATAAGTCGGAATACATAATTCCTACCGAGAGACGTGGTGGTACTTACAACGATAATATTAATATCGCAAAGGTTATCTTTCTACCTCCTACACCCACGCTGGCGGTTTCTTCTTTGGTCCACATTTTCGGATTATAAAATTGTTAGCCAGTATGGCACACAGAAGGGGAGGTTAAAGAGGACACAACACTCCCATTCACCAGAAATGTGTCTTCCTAAATGAAAAAGTATTTTTACTAAGCTCCTCTCTCCTTTACAGTATCAGTGGTGTGTGATAATTTTGAGAAAATTATTAATAGTACAACCTCCTCCCCTAAAAAATCCTTATAGCGCTTCACTACTGTTAGCATTCCGAGGTGTCCTCGTCAGAAAAATCCCACAGCAGCCCTTGTAAACTATTTAAGTACATTGCACTAATCGCTTGCCGTCACAGCGTGTCAGACGTCCGGCAATGATGATTTATTACCAAAGTACAACGATACAACAGCAGCCGTAATCGCCGTCATCGTACCTATTCCGAATGCAATATTGTTGTGTAGACATGACGGCGGAGAGAAAAATAGACGTCTAACGAACGGAATTCCGTCGGAACGAGTCAATTTACGGGCGACGTTATAATTTCAAAATATTTTAGCCGTATCCCGATGGTATATTTATAGTAGGTTACTAGCTATAGTCCGTTTTCTAGTCTCACATCACAAAATATGTTGGTTTTTTTTAAAAATTATTTCCCAACGTATGCACACATTTTTATAATTATTTATATACACATATGACACTCTCACATATCATCACGTATTCGCTACAAAACCATACAACTATCTATAAGCGATGGAAACTTATTACCGCGGCCAGTATATTATAAGTCCACTGTAGGTAATACCTATCTTACGTACCTACAAGTAATATTAATATAATACCTACGACCTACGTACTCCGATGATTATATTATACAAGTATTATACATGCCGTTCACAAATACACGTAAATAGTTTATGTGGTGGTACGCATAATACCGGAATAAAATTAATTCAAAACGTTTACATATTTAGTGTCTTGTCCGGTCAGAGTTTAATTCACACAATCGGTTGATTATTATTTATACATTTATAATCATTAAGCACTATACTCGTTTGGTGAAATGAAAATCAATGATCTGACCTTATTTTATTTAACATATAAGAACGTAGTTACTTACCTTTACCTACTGATCTATTATAATCTATTTACACATCGCCAAATCGTACCCACTCTTAACGAGCATAGAATATTCAAAAATAATAAAGTCTTAGTACTATAAGACATACTCACAGTATACACATATACATACATACATACATACGCATTATACGTTTATATATATTACACACGTTCATACGTATTATACACTGTCACTATATTTATTATGTTATTACTTTCTGTACTTCCCGAACTCCGAAAGTTTTTACTCATCGAATTCGTGTAGGTAAATAATATTATTATGATATATACAGTTTTCTGCCACCGCGTAACATTCACCGACCCTTGGTTACGTGTGTGGGAAATTCGATGCGAATTTATCGGATAACCACAAATGAACAAACATTTGATACGTTTATCCGGGTAGGTCATCGCTTGTTTGAAATGTGTGGTTGCGATCTTATATATTTGTGTACAAATTTCATGCGAAGTTCATTCCTTACATAGTTATGCATTTAATATAAACTATTATTTTGAAAAAGTCAGTTATTAACAAATATTTAAATCATATTAATATAGATATTCTATAATATAGAACCATAATTATACCTACGATATAATCAACTTTAGAACATTTAAAATAGAAAAATAACAATAACTATACAGTTTTGTCAAAGATTCATATACATTTTCCTAAAATTCAAAAGTTGTTCTTGATATAACTTTGGGCTTTGGTTCTAATGATTTTTAATTCTTCTTAGAAAGGAGAATCTTCCTCTAAGAAAATTAACAAAATGAAATATTTTTTTCTAAAATTATTTACAAATAGGTTATAAATATTTAATAATTTAACAGTGTTGAGCAGGATTTATATAAGTTTTAAAGGAGTAGGTAGTTTAAAAAGAATATGTTCGACACTCGACCTATTATAATAATTATAATACGTCTTGTAATTATTATTTCTCTCGTTTAACCAAACACAACATATTATATTAAGATCAGTTGGTTTTCCTCAAGTCCACTCTCCACCCTAAAAACTCCTCAGTTGTAAAATATTTTCCAAAATCGTCTTGGAAACTCCGTCAAACTATAATATATTGATGACGTCATTTTTCTGACGTCCGGAGTTCAGTTGACACGATATCAATGTCTCCAAATTCCGCGACATTATCGTACATGATAAAGATCCATACGACTAAATGTGGCATAAAGTGTGATAATGCAATATTGTACATTCAAGGTGTATAAAGGTGATGAATGTCGGGCACGTGACACAAACACATAACGGAATGGGGTCGAAGTAGAGAACAAACTGAAAAATCGCATACAGAATCGTAAACTAAAACTAAGGTCAGGGAGGGGGGGAGTAGAGAATAAAAAAAAATCACTTTTCAATAATACGTGTGCAGTATACGTATGATGATTACTGTCGCGCGACGAAGGCTGGCGAATTTTTATGAGTATACACAAAACAGTAAACAAAAACGTACAAACATGGATATTACATAATATTATTATATAGAACGCGTCTCGGGCATGGTAATATTATGTGGTTTATTGTCGAATTTCCCGGCGATATCATACCTCTGGGAAAACGATGTTATTGAAAACTAGGATGGTTGCATAGTATTATGCGCGCTGCGCCGTAGTATTGTATTTAGTCATCGATACCTATATGTAAATTGTATATTTATTGGACAAGAGAGAAGGATGGAGCAACCGTAATACGCGCTATAATAATATGATACTATTTATACAGTTAGGTACTAAATAATAAAACCAATAAAAAACGTTTAAAAGGAAATCTATCGAGAGTATAATATAATACGAAACCAACTCTCGCAATAGAATAATAATGTTACGTTAGTTGAAAGCGGAGCAAATAGGTTTTATTGGATTTACAACAACGTGTGCTTTTTTTATGAGGTATACAACAAAATCTAAAAAATGACTACATTTCTTTGGATATGAAAACTGAACACGAAACGTACTTTTATAATAACATTTTTTTCGACTTCCCAAAAACATCACTACACGTTAGAAAAAAAGAACAGCAACCCAACGTTAATAACATGCATTAATTTTAAAATAATAACTCGAGTTACATTCAAAATTATTTTTAGAATATAGACATAAAATATCATGTCTATAAACAGTGAGCTTAGTAGGTTTCCATCAGTTTACACGTCATATCGGTTAATACGCACAAAACCAATACCAGCTACATTTCACATGATTTAATTTATCGTTGTCAAAAGGTGACCAACCTATGTGGTCCTATGTTGACGCGCACTAAGCAATTTCTACTGTACGTTAGAACCCTCATCCCTATCGTTCTCGAACTGTTGGCCAGAGCCCGAGTCAGAGATCTTTCCACTAGAATAATCACTAATGTTTTATTATTTTCTGTTTACAGTTGGACGCTAAAAACAGTCCACTGGCGCTGTTGGCGCAGACGTGCAGTCAGATCGGATCTGACGCGCCGGCGCCGCAGAACGGCAAGACAAACTCGGAGAAGACTGGCAACCACCATAAGAAAACGTCGTCGTCACTCTCTTCGTCTTCGTCGTCGTCCTCCGACCACGGAGGCGGTGGAAGTGGCGGCCGAGACAAGCGTTCGCCGTCGTTATCGTCGTCGTCATCGTCGTGTTCGAACAGCGGTTCACCACCCGGCCAGACGTCGGTCGTCCACCATCACCTGCAGCCAGCCCCGATCACCGCCGTCACCACCACTGCCCGGTCCAGTTTCAAACCGTACGAATCGTGCGTGTTGCGACCGGCCGCCGAGGTGGCTGCGGCTGCGGCCGCGGCAGCTGCCGCCACGGCCAATGCCACGTCAATCAGCCTGGACGCGACCATAAGGAGAGCGACACCCGTGGCCACAAACGGAGGTGGCGACCGGTGCAGCAGCAAGGAAAGCGCTTCTAGTCGCAAGTCGCCGGCGGAAGATGCGGCCACCACGAACAGAAAACACAGCGAACCATCGCACAACAAACTCTCGTCGTCATCAGCCGCTTCGGTGGCCGCTCTGATGGCAGCCGCTGGTTACCCGTCACCGCACCACCATCCGCAGTTGTCGGCGCATCCTCATCACCATCACCACATGGCAGCATTGGGTGGTTCGCCCCTGATGAGCCCCTACTTCAGACCTGGCGCCGGGGCACCACCGCTACCATGCCGAGACCCGTACTGCGCGGGATGTCAGCTGGCCGCTCACTTGGCCGCCGGCAAACAACAACAACAGCCGACGGCCTCGTGCCCAGCCGGTTGCACGCAATGCGACGCCAGCCCGAAGACGGTGTCAGCAGCGGCCGCTGCCGCAGCCGCCGCTCACCATCACCACCAACAGACCGCAGCGGCACACCACCAACACCAACAGCACCAGCACCAGCAGCAGCAACAGCACCACCATCACCATACGATGGCCGCCGCGTACGCTCATGCCCAGCTGGCCGCACTGGCCGCGGCCGCCAGTCAATTGCCGTACGTGTGTTCGTGGATGGGCGCTGACCTGCCGTCGTACTGCGGCAAGCGCTTCGGCACGTCCGACGAGCTGCTCCAACACCTGCGCACCCACACCTCCGACCCGGCGGCCGCGCTGCCGCTGTTGCAACGCTCTTACCCTACGCCCCCGCTCAGCCCGTCCGCCGCGGCGGCCGTCAGCCGGTATCACCCGTACGCGTCCAGCAAACACCACTCGCCGTACGGATTTCCGTCCGGTTACCCATCCTCGCCACTGGCCATGCCACCACACCCGGGCCTGCTGCCGCCGTACTTCCCCTCAGTGGCCTACTCACCGTACGCCGCCGCCGCGGCCGCTGCTGCCGCCCCGCGACTGGGCACGTCGCCGCACACATAACTCTGCTGCCGAACATTTTAACGATTTGTTGATTGCATTATTATTAATTATTATCATGATCGTCGTAACGCCGTTAGTCGCGAGTGTTGTTAGCCGATTAGCGAAATTTGTTTTAATTTTATTTACGTTTACCTATTATAATATACATAATATTATTATTGTTTCAACAACAATAACTGAGTTTATACCTACACCAGCTATTATTAAACTGCAGTCGCTCCTTTTCTATATATTATACGATGTAGGTTGTAGGTACACGTTAATTTTTATTTCATTTGAATAACAAAACAATCTACTAAAATTTGATAATTGGCCCGCTTTTTATGTTAATTGGTAATAATAAATTAAGTTATTACGTATAGGTACCTATATATTTTTTATTTTGTTATTGACTACGTTACCTTGTTTTTTTTTTTTTGTTATTCGGTTTTATTATTTCATATTATTATTATTAATGTCAGAATTATAAACAAATATATATTCGAATCGTATATAATATTACAATATAAAATATGTAGTAATAACATAAATTATATATTATGAATTTATTGTAAAAATATTAAACTATATTATGTAACTGTGTATTATATATATATATTTATATTATATACATCACCCGATTTCATATTATATATTGTTGAATATAATAATATAATATATAATATTTGTGTTATTTTTTCGTTTATTCCTTGCTTCTGCAGACTACTTGACGAGAGATGTCACAATAACAAGATAACAAGAATATAGAATATTCATAACTATTTAGTATTTTTGACGATACCGTCAACGTATCATGATATTTCAGTGATATAACTTATATCTGTGCTCTATGACGTATAACTAAGTATATTGACGGTTATTAATAGGTACGACCTCAATGGTCGTATGAGTGCCATTCGACTTACCATGTTACAAATTATGATAATTAATGGTCATTATTATTATTAATATTATTGCTATTATGCACCGAAAATAAAACCGAATTTGTTTTAACCATGGTTACAATAATGGTGCACAGTTGGCATTTTTGGGTTTCAGTAGATTATTCCAGAGGTGCGAGAAGTTAGTTGACAAATAATAAATAATAATAATGAACCAATAATTTCTGCCATAACACGATTGTTCAGTACTTGATTAGTGCTGTTCAACAGTAACATTTTCAAAAGTAGTGCTGACGTCGGTAAAATTACTTCCCCTCTGAGATATTGGTCTTATAAGTTCAAGTCCATGTATACAGTATAAATGATACAAAGAAGAAAGTGTTGGTATGGTGTAAATTTGTATTCAAACACGCGATTATGATGTACAGTACACATTTTTCACTGTTACGAAATTTCAATAATATTAATATAGTTATTCAGTTTGGTGTTTATTTTAAATAAATAAATAATTTAATATTCTAGTACCTATTCGACACGATGTGTATATAATATACAATTTGAAATCGAAATTTTAAATTATATAATTTAATGATGCCCTCAGGGGTGTAATGGTGGGGTACCTCCGCTATTTTAGTTAATATTGGTTAAATACATTAAAAAAATAGTATGAGCTGTATGGTCAGAGACTTTGGGCTTCCACTCCCTGGTTTATATTTCTGCTGATGGCCTTGAAATAATTACTAGTCGGCAAAGATCCGCAGACTATAATATTGTATATTACATCTACTATGATAAAGTAATACAATGTTATAAGCTGTTGGTCCACTAAACATCGATTCGCATTAATATGATAGTCCACGTCGGTCTCGAGTACCTATAACGTGGGATTAACGCCTTACGTCGTTCTGTTAAATATCTGAATAGGTATAATAAATAATACTTTATTGTCGTATATTATATGTTCAGCAAAAGTACAGAAGTCTCATTACTGGGTAGAATCTTCTAACAAGTCTTTCGATGTCGCTGTAAATCAGCTCATATTCTCATTGTGATAAATATTACACATAGTATAGTATTAACTCTTAAAAAAAAAAATAATAAATAATGTTTAGGAAAAGAAGTATTACCATTATTTTTTAATAGCAATCTACCAAATACTGACAGCTAATCGCCAAAAAACACAACGACAAGAATATTGCAGGCAAAAATAATGTTACGCTTATACCTATAGGCTATAATAATACTTTATGAAATCAGCTCAAGCCGGCAATTTTTGTAGCGTAAAAATTGTTGGCACGTCATAAAAACAAAAACCGTTCAGAGATGTACACTGCAACTACGTGTTGCTTGTCGCGCCCGGTCGTTAGGTCAAACAATTTTTAACGCTTATCGGTCTACAGACATGACGTTAAGTACGATTATAACGCGATGGTTCGATTTTGAAACGCATAACAGACAAAATATAACGTCGTGGGGATATTCGCGAGTGAAACAAAAAAATATACGACCCCGATGATGACCCGCACCATACATTTAAATTATACGAACACGACAGGTACTCACGACGACGACAGTAAAAAACATACGAAACAGCAGCGGTTAGAGGACGTTGTACCCGCACGAGCAAATTTACAACTACGATACTGTTGTCTTTGTGTTCGAGTGTCTAAAAATGTTTTAAAAGGAGTTACATGTGAATTTGAAATAAATGAATTCATTTTAATAGGTACTAATCATAACTTATCTTAACTCGAGCATACTGTATGTATATTCTCCTCTACAAATTCGATAGTAAGTAAATTTGATCTAATATTAATCATAAATTAATAGCTGTAGTAAGAATTCGATACGTAGTTTTGATCTCTAAAAATCGAACGTTGGACAAGTAGCTTATTAGTTATACTCAAGTATTTCAATTTTAGATGAACGGAGTAGTAGACCAACATTTTGCGAGGTATCCTAATTGTTCGCACCACTCCACTCCGTTCATTTAAACTTTGATTACTAATAACTCATAAGCTACTTGTCCAAAATTCAATTGATAAGAAATATTACAACGGTGAACAATTATTATATTATGACACAGACAATATTGAAATTTTAACGCCTTAAAATGATAAAAAGATAATTTAAAAATAGCTATTTTTTTATTTTCAAAGATTTTAATAGATAAATATAATTGTAAAATAGTCTTACGTTGTATGGATCACCCTATATAATACATTATACAGAGTGCGTCGTTCGCATGTATCGTGGCTGCCGTCTTACATCGGTTGAACCTACAAACACATAATATTATTATACCGTACGTTAAACTCGAGTCAAATTTACGAGCAGCCGTTTACGTCCCCCTATACATAATGTTATATTTTATTTATATATTATTATAATTTATAACATATTATATTATATAATACCCATATAATAATGTATGTCGTGTACCGTCGGCCGTGAGGTGATGGACGCGCACGCCGCCGCCGTACGTATGTTATGATAATAATGTAACAATGAGAAGACGTCCACCGCGGTCGTGGTAGATACCGCGAACACGACGTAGGTATATACCGCAGCCAACCCCGTCGCCTCTGACGGTCCATTCCGGGCCCGACCGGTGTTATAACAATAATACGTGTGCGGGTTAGCTATGCCGGTGGGTAAAACGTTTTTAATATTCACAGACTGTTCGCCGAGCGAGACGTGTCCATCACCGGAGCTGCTTAGCGTTGGCCATTGCGGTCAGACGCGTCGCGATCGTATCCTTTTCGGTCGCATAAATTAAGCGTGACGGTGGCGGAGAGTCGTCTGTCGCGGGTCTCGATGACGGACGTCCGTGGTCGTACACATACACCTGCTGCCCGCAGTGCATCGTGTGGTGTGCACTTTATAGATCAAATTATAATATTATACTACCACATATTATCATACATACGCACTTATATCGGGTTATCTCTGTGTTCTAACTCGACCAGCTCATTTTAATATATTAAATTAGTGAAAAATATAGTTTTTTTTAAAAAAAATGTTGATTTGCAATGACTTAAAATTGTGCAAACGAAATATTATCAAAAACCTATAGTGTTTTCTAAAACAATGGGAGTGTATATTAAGTCAAATGGACCACCCCATATATATTGTATTATATAGATAATGTGGTGTAGTATGCAGTAAACTATTCGTGTTCGACTATGCACTGATGGTGGAGGCTCAAGCGGAGGAGGTAGTCGTTGGTATAATCCTGTATATTATTTATACCCTGCGTGTTTGTGAGAAAAGGTCAACGCAGTCCAAAACGATGGACCCATTATCGTCGTGGCCTCGTGGGTTGTGTGACAAACGATCTCTTGTAGACTAAATGCGTGTATAGTCAACCCAACCCCCCGACAGCCTGAAGTTTGTTGATTGCGCATATATGTATGTATACATCTAACTAAATCGTAGATTCACTGTCTCGGGTGATGGTGGATGTGATCAAAGGGGTATTTCTTAACCGTTCCACTGCAATCATGACGAATACCTGTGGGTATAGTAGAAAACGATACAATATTTTATTTTTCCAGTTTTTTTTCAATTACAGTGACAATAATATCTTTTATACAGCATCATGTTAAAATGTCGACATTTTAAAATCAATTGCGATCTCTGGACAGTGTCACCGGCACTGTTCTATTTAATGGTAGCAGTCATCATTATTATATTGACAGACCATTGTCTATAGATAATAATATTATATTGCGCCTTTAGGCTACATGGTTAGAACTTCAGAAGATTATAGGCACAATGGTATAATATGGTGTTACCACGTCGGTGACAATATATAAATACATTTTTTTTTGTATTTTTGGTCTTACTTTCATCATACATAAGAACATTCATAAAAAGTCGAATTTTTATTTTTACGGTAAATCTACAACGGCGGCGAACTGCCATCATTCTTGTCGCCTTCGACGCGATTATCGTCGCACATAATATTATATTATATTCCATAAATCACCATGATAATGCAATGTTATTCGTTCTCGCAGACCTCAAGCTCGATAAGGTCGAGTGGCCAGCATGAACTTGGGTCCGAGATTGTGCTTAACGACCGTCTTCAGGGATTCTACGCGAAGTACACACACCCACCCGACGTGGTCACACGGTGCAATATTATATAATCGTCGCTCGTAAAACACAGAAGGCGCCATAAAACTGCTGGCAATCTTACCAGAGGTTTCTCAATTTTTTGTCGTAGTATTTTATTTATATATTTTATAACTCGTGATCCTATGGACATATTATTTTACACGAGTACAAACGCTTTCGTTATACTCACACAAACACTGTTATTGTTATATTTATACCCACTATATATGTATTGAAAACAAGTGTTTTCGACGATATCTGATTCTATGTCA